TCCCCGTTTTTTTTTTTTTTTTTTGGAAATTTTTAAAATAAAAAAAGTTATATCAATATATCTTAATGTAATTAATTTATATATAAATGGACTTCAAATTTTTTAAATTTATAATGAGATGATATGTCTCCTAACAATTATATATAGTACTAATCTCAATACAAATGCAAAGATTATTAAGTCAATTTAACCTAAAATATGATAGTACATTCCAACATTTTTTTCACTATGAGATGTGATGTGGAATTATTAAAATTTTGAATTTTAGTATTTTTTATCAGTGTGATAAAAAAATTAAAACCTTATTTTTTTTACAAGTATTTAAGCTTCATAGAAAGTTGTCTCAAACAAAGCTTTAATCATAATTTTTATTTAACCATTGCTTTTGTATTGCTTTTAAAAAATTATATATATATTAAAAAACTGCTTTCTACAACAGCTTTAAAAAGTTAATTTATATGCAACAATTTATAAAGCAATAAGAAAGCCGTCCAAAATGAAAACTTAAATTGCGACAAACAGATTGAGTTGTTCAATTAGGGCAATGCGATCATTCACATTCCATATTCAAATGTTTATATTACTTGATAATCTCTCCCTCATTTTGGTGAATTTCAAAGAGATGGAAGGAGTTTTTGATGATATGTTGAAAGGAAGTAAATTATTTGATGAAAAGCATGACTGAATCAACAAAATTATGAATAGTTTTATCTAAGAATGAGAGAGTAGAACTATGTATGAGCTTGTCTCTTAAGAATTGCGGGGAAGACCTATCAAAGGATTGATGAGAAACTTGCTAAATGTGCATGACGTTTTAGTAGCGACCAATATGTTTATATGAGTCAAATGTTTCATCATATAAATTAATTGTAGATAACTTCAATTCCACTAGAATATGATTTTTGAAAAATACATCAGTCAAAGGCAAAGACTCTTCCATTGTTTCATTAAAAAAATTGTAATATATTAGAAATGTTTCCCATAAATGACACTAAATTATTACGTGCTACAAAATTTTGGATGTTTGAGTGGGAGTATTTAATATCTAAATTTTATACGAATATCCAACTGTATAGATAGAAGTTGTAAAAGATACATGAATTTTTTACTTGAAAAACCCAATAGGGAAAACCATGCTCAATTATAGTCGTCTAGTATATAATTAAATTTATGAGAGTGCTCTTCTCCTCCACAATTGAAGAAGTTGAAATTGCACAATTGGGAACAATTGTCTGATCCTCTATTAGGATTATGGAAGAAGTGGTTGAAGGTGGAGAAAATGATATAAATTTAGTGGATCGATAATAATGTAGTAGGGGTTGGGTGCCCAAAGTTGGACAGGTGAAGTCACGTGACTATGCTATATGTTAGTAGTTAGACCATTATGGTTGCAATTGCTGATTCTGATAGTGATTGTCGGCGGTGATCATCAGAAAATGCAATATTGTTCTTGTTGTGTCCTGGAGTATTCGCGGCGGTAGAGAAATATATAATTTAACGTCTTAACATTGTACGAAGATCCAGCACACAATCAGATAAGTGAGAGAGGGTGCAGCATTTATAAGAAACACCAGATTTTTTACGTGGAAACCCCTAAAAAAGGGGAAAAACCACGGGGCCTGGACCAGTTTGAATGAATCCACTAGTATTTGCAGTCGATTACAAATGAGGCCCTTCCTTGGGAGAAGGCCTTTGCTTGATGGTACAAATGTACATCATATAGAGCGCATTACATAGTGGGAGTTACAATAATATACATGTTTATTTAGTTGGAAGGGCAGTAGTTGGCACAAGACGGGGGTCCAAAAGACCGTAGTTGGTAGGAGATTAGGGTCATGAAGATCATTATCTGGCGATGTAGGTCGGAAGGATTGTAGTAGGCGATAAAGGTCTGAAAGACCGAAGTCGGCAGGAGACCAGGGTCTAAAAGATCGTTGTCTGTTGATGGAGGTCAGAAGGACCATAGTAGGCGACGGAGGTCGGGAGGACCTTAGTCGGTAGGAAATAGGAGTCTGAAAGACCGTAGTATAAGGGTGGTACTTCGGTAGAACTCTGGGCGTCAGGTGGTGGCCTGGTGGAGCTCGGGGCCTCAAGTGACAGTCCAACGGAAGTCCGAGCCTTAGGTGGTAGCCTGGTGAAGCACAGGGCCTCAAGCGGTGGTCCGGTGAAAGTTTGGGCCTCAAGTGGCGGTTCAGCGGAGCAACGACGTCCGGCAGTGGTCCGGCGGAGGCAAGGGCCTTAAGTGGTGATTCGGCGAAGCAACGGCGTCAGGTGGTGGTCCGGCGGAGGCGAGGGCCTTAAGTGGTGGTCCGGCGGAAGTCCGATGGTGGTGGACCAGCGGTGGTTCGACGGAGGCGAGGGCCTTAAGTGGTGGTTCGGTGGACCAACAGTGGTTCGACGGAACTCCGGCGGTGGTCCGGCGAAATTCTGATGATGGTCGAGGAGGCAAGGAAGCAAGAGCGATCTCCGATCTCTCTCTTTTTTCCTTAGGCTTAGGGGTCCCTTTTCAAGAGGAGAGGGAGCTCTATTTATAGATTTATGGAGTGGCATGACCCGTAAATAGGTGAGAGATCAAGGATAAATGGGGAGTGGTCGGATGAATGGCGGATGTTGAATCCCTTGATCATGTACCGTTCTTTAGACATTTGAAGACCTTAATGATGTCGGAATTCGGCGATCTTGGGCTCGTTGGATTTGTCTCGTCGAGCCTCTTGATTCGAGTAGAAGATTGTTATGTTTGGAAACCGTTTGGTAATCCAATTTGTGGTTAGAACCTTCCAACAGCGCTTTGGGTCCTTGATTTGGACCCATTTGGGCTCAGATTGAGTCGAATTTGGTGTCTTTGGGTTCGTATTTCCGAGACGCTCAGTTCAACTGTAAGTTTATTGAAATCGGAGTTCGGATGGTCTCCAAATTAATTTTTGAAGCTTCCAATTTGATTTTGCATCGAGATTTGCATCCGATTAAGATAATTTTTTGACGACGTATCAGTTCTTAAGATCTCTTAGTTCTACAATCAATCTCACATAAGAAATGAGATTCTATTTATAGCTTTTTGAAATAAATACTTTGATAAATTTATCTAGTATATAAAAAAAAAAACTCCATCGAACAACTTATGTGTTGATCTTACATTGTTTATTCATTATTTGATCACCTTAATGGTCTCAGAATTGAACGATGCCAGGGTCATTACATTCACTAGACGATCTGCTTGATTTGACTGCAAACATTCAATATTTAAGATCATTTGGTTCTCCAGTTCATATTC